AGTAGTTTGTGACGCCTTCAGAAGCACTTTGTTCTGTTTGAGCATCATGCCTACAACAGCACCGCTCTAGTTCACTTGCATTCTAACATAGTTTCCTAAATGTGGGAGGAAGACGAGGAGTGCTGGTTCATCTTGACAGGCTGTGTCTGTGATATGTGCCTATTACTAATACTCCATTAGTAGTGGGTGTGGTTTTAATTTATTCCTGATGAGAAACAGATGAGAAAAGGTTGCAAAACCTGGGGAGGGGCCTGACTGTGTAACTGACCTGCCATTTAGACCACGACAGAAAACAGCTGAGAAAAGACAGTGTACTTAGTCCTTTTTCTACATGCCTCAGATCAGAGAAAAAAATGATTTTTTTACATAGCTTTTCAAGATTCCAAGAACTACACAAAGCAAGGGGAACCTATGTGGTTGTTTAGAATATACAGGGGAGAGGTGGTGGCTCTAAAGAAATAATAGAGAGTTGTTAAAAAACCATACTAGAGAATTGCATTAAATACGCACTTTAACTTAGCCAGAAAGCTATACAGAGCTATACAACAAATAAATGTTGTATTCACACACATTTAAAACACTATGTTTGGTTTGTTACAGCCTGCGTTGAGGTATAAGAGTGAAAGTCATCAAGTATAGCAAATTATAGCAAATTAAACATCTCAATGTTTAACAAACATTTAATGAATCACACTCAAAAGTTCAAAATTTCTGTGGAAGTGTGAAATGAATGAAACATTCATGTCACCTCTAACTTCTGGCCAGGTTTTGCTTGCATTCATTTTTTAGAATACTCATTTTGATAACAGGCAAGAGTTGAAGGAAACACCCCTGTTTGTGGCACTTCCAAGGTGAAAATGAAAAATTCTGATAAAGCTCCCAGCCTTGAGGAAGATTTCAAGTGGCTTATTGCCTTAGTTCTCTCTTATTTCACTACACATTATCAGATGGAATTGAAGGACAGATTCTGCTGTTTGCTCTATAGGCTAAATTCTATTCTCAGTGGAGACTGTTGCTGGTAACTTGAGTATTTTTTCCCTTATTTATCTGTGTAGCCCTGTTTCAATGGACTCAAGAACTGCAAAGTGCATAGGATGGAAGAAATCTGTACATTGGCTGATGGGATGTGCAGGTGTGAAAGATTTATGTAAAGAGAAAAGTTACTCTCTGGATGCAAATTATCCCCATTTCTTTGCAGAAGAGTTTTTCCTTCCCTCCCTCTTTCTTTTTACACATTGATGTTTAGCTGAGAGTCCTGGTTCTTCTCAGTTTTCAGTAGAACTCATCAGGCACAAGGAAGGACCACAAGCTCATGGCCAGGGCATCACTTAGGAGATCCTGGCCTTTCCTGATACACATTTTTTAATTCATTAAGTTTATTGGCTATTTTAGGTATACAATATGATGACATTCATCATTGGGAATTTGTGCCTTTACATGATATATCTTGGTTCTTATGTTTTTCGCCATTTCCCTGCCCTCTCTTCTACCCCTCCCTATTTACAAAAACTTTGCTTCTGTTTTTTCCTTTTCTCGTATTTATTCCTTTCACTTCCCCTATCCCACCCACCTCCCGTTCCCCTTTGGGCCTTATCTTCTAATTTCATATTACCTGTTATACATTTTGATCCTTATACACATTTAATCTTAAGGCTATGGATGCTTTGTCACTGGCCCCAATTCCAGAGTAGGGCTTCACAAAGTCAGTGATGTTAAGACCAAAAATATTGTCATTTAGTGTCTAGGGAGAAGTTAAAAAGAGGATTAGAGGCCGGCCGGCAGGCAGGGTATATTAAACTAGTCCATGACTAACAGGGTGTGACAGAAAAGAGCTTTATTCTTTTCAACCAAACAATTCCCTAGGGCTGGGACCATTACTCCACTGTGCCTTTATCACCTTGGAATTTTTATGGTTATTTCTGATGAATTCACATTTTTGTAAAGGCTTTTTTGAAATGATGCCAGTTTTCAATTTTTAATTAAAGTCGTAAATAATCTTAATTCTGCCTTAAAAGGTTTATTGTTTCTTTCTTTCTTTTTTTATTACTGCTGCCAGGAAATATTTCAAATACCAAGACCTGATGTGAGCGAGCAATTAGAATCTCTCCAAGGTCTAGTAACAACATTGTACCATGTAAATATAACACACTGGTATATCAGTCCAAGATTAAGAAATGTAGATTGACTGATCTCAGGTTTATTAGCAACTGCTTTTCTGGAGGGAGTGACATTTCCTCTTTTTCTTGGACGAAGCAACTCTCATTACTTTCATTTCCACAAATTAATCCATCACAGATTCATAAAGGGTTTTAAAAATAAAAAAACCAGGTTAAAATTTGGAAAAGAGAAACTGTAAACTCACTAAAGATTGGACATAAAAATCAACAAGGTCAATTTCAACCATTTGGAGGAAACAGAGTAAATGTCAAAAGCTAAACCATCTGAGAGATGGCCTCTCATTTTACATAAGACAAATTTAAGAAAGACCTGCAATGTTTGACGGAGATTATAACACTACTTGACAGTATATCCTTGAGATCTAGATTGTCTGTTGAAAGTTGCTGGTAAACTGTCAATAATATTGTATTTCTTAGTTTCAACGTCTGTTTTTCTTTTGTCAATTAGTGCTTTAAAAATCTTTCACACAATCAAAACTACTCTTCCTTTATACAGAGGAAGAAACACACCGTATTTGAACAACAGAAATCATAAACAATTTCTGAGAATATCCATTGTTTTGTTCTTTTATCTGTCAACCTAGGAAGCCTTCTTAAATGGAACACTGTGTTGTTGCTTATTTATCTACGTAGGGGATGAATACCCTTTCATGTTCATAATAATGATTATGCTCTAAAAAGTGCTCCCCAATTTTATTGATAAATTTGATATTGCAAGGAATGCCTGACATGTGGGACAACTTGGAGGCAGACAGTCATCATACTTACAGTGAATACCTTTCATCTAGAAAGGCTATTTTTTTAAACAAATGTAATTTACCACTTCAAATATTTAATATACACATGACAAAAACCATTAGACAGTGATTCTGCTAAAAGTACTTAGCAGTACACAACAAGAGTGTATTATTTTAAGAAGACTAAGCATTTCCTTCCAACTTTATTCACACTATTACTTAGCAGTACTGTACCTTTGCTTTCTGAAATCCAAGAATATATTCATGCCAAATAATCATAGATATCTATTTACTGGGGTTCAAACAAAATGATTTAAATATATTTCTAGAGAAAAATAAATGATTTTAACAACTGATTTACAAGATTGGGTAGGTGCACAGTTAAATGTATCTATTAAATCTTCCCAGATGAGTATTTTTCTAACTCACAGGAAGAGGTCAAGTTCTTTCCATATATGAGACCTTAGCTGGCCTTGTGGTAACAATCTCAAGGGAGAAAAACTTCAAGCAACAAAAAGACTGAATATTTTCCAACATCAAATGTTAAATCCCTATAAACCTTGAAAGAATGCAAGATTTCTAAGTAGAAGCCAGTACCTGAAAACCCTTGCCATGGGGTTCAATTACTTGAAATAATTTTGAGTCTTAAACTGTCCTTACATTTGTCATAAAGGGCCGTGAAATGAATCAGGTACCCATCTCAATACAAATGAACCACTCAAAAAGCCAGGGTAGTTCAACATGTTTACTGCCATGGAAAAACTATAAAATTTAAAAACTCAATCATACCACAGCAATACATGTGCAACCATGTTTACAGAGCCACTGTTTGTAATAGTTAAAGCTTGGAAACAGCCCAACTGCCCATCAACTGGAGACTGGATAAAGAAGATGCAGGGGTTTTTTTTATAAAGTGGAGTACTATTCAGCCATAAAGAATGAGAAACTAGAGACAGTTACAGCTAAATGGATGCACATTGAGGCCGCACTCTTAAGAAAAATAAATAGGACACACATGTGTAAATACCAAATAGTTTCTCTGGTGTGAAAAACTAAAAGCATAAATAAGGATCAAAATGTGTAACTGATAATGTGAAACAGGAAGAAAAGGTCTAAACAGGTAGGGGAAGTGAGAGAAGTAGGGGAAAGGAAAGAAGTGAAAGGAAAAAATATGAGAAAAGGAAAAAATGAGGAAAAAATCTGTGTAAATAGGGAAGGGTGGAGGGGGTGAAAGGAGGGCAGGGGTATGGGGAAAAAATAAGGACCAAGATACATCATATAAAGGTACAAGATCCCAATGATGAATGTAACTGTATTGTATACCTAAAATGTACCAATAAACTTAAGGGAAAAAATTTTTTAAACTCAGTTATGAGGTAATTATCTTGAAAGGGAGTAAGCTTCTGTCTCTAGCAGAAGTGAAGACCAGTATGGCCAACTACTTGCCACATAATGTGAGGGTTGGAGAGGAGGTAAGGCCAACTGGTTGGTTGATCTGTAACATTTATCCCAAGTCTGAGATATAATGATTTTTACAAACTTTGAATAGTGAGTTAATTCCTCATTGATGTCAAAGTGACTAAATTAAATTTTTTTCAGATTTCATATAGCCTATCAACAAACCTTTTTGTTCTCTAAAATTAATGTGAATACCCTATTCTTATCCTAGAGGTTCACCTACCTTTTTCATAAAGCTAAAATGATTTTAGCCAACTAATATTTTATGAAATAGTATGTCTGTCTCTCCACAAAGGGCTTTTATTGTTGTTTTCCTCAATTCAATTTTCTTACCTATTTAGACCTAATTTCCATAAAAGCCTTTTGTTACTTCCTGGTTTAGGTGACTTTCACTAATTTCCTTTGATTTCAACTGTACAAACCTTGCCCAGAAATTCTTATCTGGCTCTATCAGCTGTGCCTACCATAGCCTTGCTATTACTTCATGGAAGACATCCCTCCTCAAACCACCTGAAGCATGTTACACCTTAAGAAGTATAAGAGTTTCCAATGCCCTGCAGAAGCTCCAAGTACTACAGAGTAATTTAAAAGTGATTTTTCTGGACAGAAAATTCCCTTCTAAAATTACCTTTTTTCTTGCTTGTTGATCTTTGGAAGAATGTGCCTTCACATGCTTTCTTAGAGAACTTGGGTCTGTGTAGCGTTTGGTGCATCCTGGAATTTGACAAGCGTAAGGTTTCTAAATAAGAAAGAAAAAAGAAAAACCAGCTATGGTTAAATTATAAAAGTATCCAGGGAAGGTTTTACTCAAAGATTATCCAGAGCATGAACTGTTACCAACCAACTAATGTGAACTACTAGGTAATACTCACATGTTTTAATCAGAAAGCCCAGGAACTTTGAATCATGGTAGAGAGGACAGTAAACTTTCAAGATACAAAAAGCTGTCTGATCCTTGCTGATTTTTAAGAGATTGCTTTAGACTGCATGCTAACCACAAACCTCTTGTGGCATTTTTAATGTGAAAATTATTAGTAAGCATCTCCAGGCATACTTACAGTTATGTTTCCCTGAGAAAAATCTTTGGTACTGTCAGAAACTAGTAAACACATATTCTTTAAGGGCTCAGGTAAAGAAGCTGTAGAAAAGTCCAGAAAAGACTGGGTATGTTTCAGAAGAAACCTGATTCAGAAAGAGAGAGGGAGAGAATTGAGAAGAAAAAATTAGCATAAAGTGAGTAAGAGACAGTAAGCTTCAAATAACAGACACATGAAAAATTGGCAAGAAGGTTAATATTACTAGTTGCAGAGGAGTCCTGTGCTGAGCCCAAGTTAAGTGAATAAGCCCTTGGCTGAGTGTGATTTTGGCTATTCCAATTCTCCATGCACCTCAGAGATGTGAAGTATGGAGCCTAAGGCTGAATCTGGAATTTACTTTATTTTCATATTCCTGGTGCATGGTACACAAGAGTTAGAAATGAATGAATGCATGAATGAATGAATGAATGACAGCACCTCACATGCACAAAACTTTCAGCATTATCACTTCTACTACAGTGACAGAATTCTTATCAAGAGTTTTGAAATCATGACTCTTCAGTTGCAAGATCAGTCCAAACTTTCTGCTTATTCCAAGAACTGAAGGAAAAATGCCCCAGGATAAACTGTGTTTGTACGATGTATTAATTGTCACTGATCTACATAGTAACTTAGTATTCATCAGGTGAGGTAAAAGATCTGTGCCTACATGAGGTGAAACACAAGGAGGAAAACAAACCTTGTCTCCAAAATGTAATCTTGCTCTAGAAAGCTTTCATACTACTGACAAAAAAACCTCAGATTTTCTTTTATTGTTTATGTTGTACTCTTGTTTCCATGTACATGCTTGTCATTTTGTGAGCCAACATACGTGTGGGTTATATTATTTTCTTCGCTGGAAGCAGTATTTATGGTTCACTACTTTTTCCATTTTTAATTCCAAGAACAAGGTAAAATCATGAATATGTAATTTAATTTGACATACCTAGTTTGAATTCTAAGTTTAGTATCTGATGTGTCTGTTGATTGGCTAACTGAGATCACTCAGTAGCTCTCACATTTTCAGAATGTGCTAGGCACTGCGTTAGTATGAGGGAGCAGAGAATGAACAGTGGATGAGCCAGGCTCTCAATACTTAAATTTTTACAAAATGATGAGCTAATTATTGGAAAGTTACTTGCTAATGATCTTCCATGTGGGTAAACAAAGATTTCTTTAGCCTGAGAATCTTTTCTAAGTTTATAGAGCTTTCTTAAAATAGCCTTCCCTACACTGTCTCAACTTTAGGAGAATTACTAGCCAAAATCTGTACTTGGAAGTGCCATCATGAGCACATAAGCTCATGTTTTGAGCATGAGAGAGTATGTTTCATGTAAAAAGGTTTTATGAATATTAACATGCTACAGAAACTGATGCCTATATGATTTGGGTTGGTAATGTCATTGGTATGTAATTTTGAGACGTTCTTGGAGAAAGTTTAAATATATACCATTCCTGCCAAGGACCCTTGACTCTCTCTGTTCTTGCTGTCTGCCACCGGGGACCACCGGTGCCAAAATAGCAATGTCAGGGAGTAGCTAAAGTAGTGCTCTATCCTGCTCGTTTTATCTCAGCTTACCTAAGCTTTAAAAAGAATGCTTTGCTTCATTAAACTATATATTTCATTGTTTTCCATCTGTACTGATAATTATTTTCCTTGTTTAGCTGTTAAAATGTTAACAGAGAAATGAACTAATAAAACATTTCAGGGTTAGAATTAAGAACTCAGTAATCTTTATGGGAAAATAATTTTCCTATGTGTCAAGAATCCACTTAGCTGAAGAAAGAAACCTTATCCAAAATTCTGACAGTATTTGCATAAGGAATGATTAATGAAAGGGAATTGAAACCTAAATTTAAATCATAAATTCTTCAATCAACTATAGTTTGCTTCTTTAAAAAAGTGTTTAACTTCAATGTCGTTTCAAAAGAACTCACCAGTTTGTTAAATTAGTAAAAATTTAAATAGCTTGTTTGGAATATCAAGGAGAAATGATAGTTTTAACAGATCTAATAGAATTTTTTTTAAAAAAAAGAATAGCTGAGTTTTAAGAACTAATGCATTGAAATGAAATCTTAAAATTATTATCTTAGGTAGCTTTTCTTAAAAGTTCTAAAAAGGGATGCATACTTTTAAATTCTGAAATGATTTTTGAAATTACTTTTTGTTTGATCAGTTAAAATTAGTACCAAGTAAAGGGTGCTGTTGAACTATAACACTTACCCTTACAATAGTTCTTTCAAGCTACAGATAACCAGCTAGAGTATAAGCAATTTCTCAACACAATCTTGTCTCATGAATGTTTATTCTTCCATGATAAAATTTAATGACAACTTGGAAAATCTTCTGGATTCAACCAAGACCATTTTAGACAAAACACAAGAAGGTATTTAAACATAATTTATTCTTTTTTTCATTTTTCTACATTAAAAACCCCACTACGCACCACATTTGTTCATTTAATAGTCTATTCTATTGGTCCTAAAATCACTGAATTCAATTCAGTGAGAGCCAAAAAGAAACACCCTATGCTAACTGTATTTCAGATATTTATTAGACAAACCATCACATTAACGTATATTAGGAGATAATTCTGTTTAGAAAGGTTATGTGACATATAGCTAAAATGACTTGTATCAATGTGACTAATAGAGACTAATATAAAATTTAATAAATATGTCAACTATAACATCAGAAGAATCTTAAATATGTATGAGAAGGTGTGTAGGAATAACAGTATCTTTTCAAAATTCAAACTCTGGTGTAGTTTAATAATAGACATCAGAATGTTAATGCTGAGAAAGTACTGTCATGAATACATTATTTGCAAGAATGTGGGATAAGAGATCTGTGATGTCTATAATACATTTATCCTAGTGGCTTTGTTAAGTGAAATGAAATTACATAGGTCTACCTGGTCTCATGTAAGAAAAATGGCATCAAAGCCCGAGAAATGCCAAGGAGGCCTATCAACATAATAGGAAAATAAAAAACAAGAGTTAAACAGAAAAGGTATTTGAGAATGATCAAAATGTAGCAGCATTAAAGGAGTTAAGGGTGTGATAATAAAAATCAATTGTTCTCACAGGGTTGATATCCAAGGATATGTGGCTGTTAACATAGAGGAAGCATGAAGAAACTGAACCCTTGGGAAATATTTGCTGTTTCTTTCTAGATTGCCTGAAGGTGAAAATACCAGGTGTTTCTAAAGCAAAATGCCAGATTCACTTTCAAAAACTATGTCAGCTGCAAAGTTCTTACACCAAGAAGAAAAGAACTGGGGTCAATAACCAAACAAACAAAAACACATCTCATATTTCTAGCAGTAGCACACACTGCTATTTCGGTATGTCTGACAATTAGCCACTTATTTTAATAGTCTCTATGGGTGATTGTCCATATTAAAATCTACCACAGAACATCCTCTAAATGCTTTGTGTTTTATATACAGAAGTAACCAAGTAGCCTTTTGTCCCAGGAAATTCTAACATTTAGAATAACCTGTGACTACAGAAAAATGAAAAGAACCACACAGGAGCCCTTTGGGCACTTTACCAGGCTCCACTGCTGCCCTTGGCACTGCCCCTGTAACCTGCAGATCACACAGCAAATACCTGTACCACCCCACTGTCAGAGGAGCACTTTTGTACACCAGGCTCTGCTGCAAGGCAGAAAGTTGCCCCCATCCTTACAGTGTCCAGGTGTGTCCTCTGGTGCTTGGCACGGTCGCTGGAGTTACTGAATGCCTTCTGACAGCCAGGGTGCTGGCACAGGTAGGGCTTCTCGCCTGTGTGGCTCCGCAAATGAATCTTGAGGTTCTCAAGTCTGGAAAAGGCCTTCTTGCAACCTTCAAACTGCAAAAGGAAAACAATCTTTGGTTGTTGAGAAGGACCCTCGAGTGTTTGATTCAGGGGTGGGTGGGGGACAAAGTCTGTAGTTTATACTTAGCTTAAAACAATAAACTAAAATGAAATCCAAAGAATAACAAGTATTACTGCTAAAATTATCCATACGCTTATGTGAACTGCATTTTACCACTGAATATACATGCCACTTTCTACACTAGATTTGGGTCCCAAACTGATTTCTGTGATCACTTCTGTTAGAAAAAATTCACAGTGAGCCATCTGGCTCAGTTAATAAAAATACAGTAATGTGTGTCTTAAAGATTTATTAAAAAAATTAACACACTTTTCCATTTCCAAATTGGTCTAAACTGAAGAAACCAGGAAGGAAGAAACTTTTTGACAACTAATAAACTAACAGGAAAAATCAGAGTGATGTTTGAGAAAAAAAGGAGAACTGAAGATGTGAGAGTCCAGGATGAAGCAGGCACATGTCCACTAGATCGATATGATCAGAACTTCCTTAACTGTATTTGAAACTAAACTACACTAACTAGGGTTTTTTCAACTCCCCCAGAGTCACCATATTAACGTGTAGGATAATGTCAAGCTTAAAGAGATAAAGTTATAAACATCCTTAAAAAGGAACTAAAAAACAGACAATTCATTTAGTGTTAAATTATTTTCCCAATAGTTTAACTTCTATTTTAAAAAATTTTCTTATGTAATTCATGAAGAAAATTCAAAATGAAAGTTTGGATATTACAATAAAAGTGTCTTTTTGTCAATAATTATTGACAGTAACATTTACTTAATATTTTCTATGGGTAAAATATCAGCTACTTTATAGGATCAAAGGGATTCTAATCCTTAAAGTGACAGTACAATGAAGGAAATGTTACTAGGAAAAGCCTATAAATGAAGCATACATTTGAGATTGAGATTTATCATTTAACACTCCCTTTGGTGCTACACCCAAGAATATCTGTCTGACTTTGACAGCTTTAATTTCATTTGAGTGCCACTAGAAGGGAAAGTTAGAAATATGGAAAAGCCTACCTGAATAAAGTATAATATACTTAAAGCAATCGAGAAACTCAATTCTTAAAGAGGACTGTAGAGGTAGGGAGTGTTTTAGAAAAGAATACAGGCAAAGAAGGTCAGGTCAAGAAGGTTCTCATTCAAAATTAGTAGGAATCGCAAAGCCTTGGTGCAAAGATTTCAAGAAACTCCTTTGTTCTCTTACTTCTTACAATGTAGCTCACATAAAGGATGATGCAGAGCTGGCCAAGTTTTGGTGACTGGAATTTTCATCTTCAAATAAAGAATGAACTAAGTAGAAAGAATAATCAAACATGTCATAAATTCCATCTATTTAAGTTGTTCAGATTTTGCATGCTGGAGTATTTTAAGAAATTTATGAAAGTTGCACTTATTTTTGATTGAGAATTATACATGTTTCACAGACATATGTTGGTTTATTTCAATTTTGATATTTTGCTTAAAATAATTTTGGTGTTTTCCTGATTTCTATTTCACATAAAAATAAATTTAGCCTGAACAGAAAATGAATGCTGACGAAGCCAACTAGTTTTTTTCAGCAGCAAAGGGCATATGATGCCATGTCGTTAGAGGAAAAGAGGAGTTGAGGGGCTTATTTCTGCCGGTTTTCAAGTGTTTGTCAAGTCTGAGGAGAAAGGGGCTCAAAATTAACTCCTAATTCATAGCTAAGCGGTCTCTGCTGACCAAACCTCTGTTTTTAAGTTCCCTTTGAATGACAACTCAGAAAAAACTCCTACAGCTCAGTTTATTTTACTTGTAATCACCTGGTGGACCACACTTAACCCTGAAATGAGCCTGTGGTTTTGGATGCACTAACCCTGGAGCCTGATTCCTAGCAAGGTTCTTTCGTAGGGTGGATTTCATTCGGGGCTAGCTCCAGGGGCACATACCCAGAGCAGATCAGGCCCCAGGATTCTCTCCCTCCCACAGTCTCCTCAGAGAGAAAGCTGCATTGCTTTGACACCAGTATGGGAGTGGAGAACAACTTTAGAACAAATTAATAGGCTCCTGTGAGTACCAGATAAACCAAGACTCCTAGTTCCACGCAGTGATTGGATATGTGGTAGACTAACCCCCAACTGATCAGACATCAATGCTATGTAGGCTAGCCTTTCCCAGGTCTTCCCAGTTGAATGCTCACTTACAAATCCACTTAGAATTCAACTGTTAATACTATTAACAAAAGCAATAATAAAAGCCCCCAAATTTCATTGCACTTCAAGCAAATGAATGAAAACAAATAATTTCTCAGAATATCCTAATCATTTAAAAATAGCAAAGGTTGAGGAAATTATAAGCGGTCAGGCTAAAAATGACAACAAAACGACTATCAGTTAAATAATAAAAATCCAGCTGAGCTGGGGATTTAGCTCAGTGGTTCCAACACCTGCCTCACAAGTGCAAGGTCCCAAGTTCAATCCCCGGTCCCCCCCCAAAAAAATCCAGCTGATATCAAATGTTTCCTCTGTAACATGAAAGGCCAGAAGATGACACAGTAGCATCACAGTATTTTCAATTTTCAGGGAGAAAACATTAAGAGTGAAGAGTTCGATCTCGCTGAATTGTACAAATAAAGGTGGGAGAAAGGCAATTTCATGTGTGCAAGGGCTCATAATACATATCACCCATTCGTTCTTGTTAAAGAAATTAACTTGAAGAAACCATGATCCCAAGACCAGTAAAATTAGGCACTGAAGGACTGACAATGCGTAGGTAGGGGGCCTAACCCCAATGCATCACAAACACCTGGATGAACTTGTCACTGAAGATTCTGGAAGAAGGTGTTGTTTGTTTCTCTAATGGTCTCTTGATGAAACATAAAAGCAAATACTTTTATAATGAATCATTATTATTCATTATGGGACTAATCTGGTAATTCGGCACAAGAATTTCCTCTCCCTGAGGCAGTTTTACCCTTAGACATATAAGTTCAGTTAAATGAAAATATTTTTAAAATAAACCAACACTTAGGTACATTTACAAAAGACTATTACAAGATATACTAAAACTGGATCTTTGGGTGTTTGGGCAATGGATGCCTTTTACCTTTCTTCTTAGGTTTTTCATATTTTCCAAATCTTTACTAAGTACTTCTGATCTTGTAAATGAACATTTAAATTTAGGGAAGCAAGGACTTTTATGAGTAATTCCCTGGTTTTAATCATAGGTCAAAACCTCTCACGGAAGTTCTTACAGTCCAAGATCTATCCTGAAAGGTAAGTTCCAAATTGTCAACTGACTGCTCTTCTCATAGTTACCAACCAATTCCCACACAACTGAGCAATTGCTTTGTCTCAGCTCCTTTTCCTCCTGGACTGGCCGTGGAGCCATGAACCCAAAGCCCAGTGACCTAGAACTGGATCACCAAGCTGAGGTTGTCTAAGATTTATAGATCATGTACTGGTAGACAAGAGAAAAATAATACATAATCAAACCTTAGAGTCCACAGAGAAGTTGAAGGATAAAAAAATAGGATACATAAGAGAAACAAATGACAACAATATACAGGGAGTGATGGAAAAGCGAGCTGTGGCCCACTGAAGGTTTATTCCATGCTAAACTTCTTGCTATGTATTTTCATTGGGTTAGTGATTTCTATCTAAATAGCATTCTTTATCCTCCAACAAATACTGAATAAGTCCTATAGGAACAAAATGAGTAAAATGCGAAGTGATTCACATGAACATAGAAACCAAGGTCAGTGCATATGGCTGGTCAGGTTCAATACTGAAGAACCCTGAACAGTGGTGCTCAAAGATATGGTTCCTAGACTAGAAGCAGCATCAGCATCACCTGGGAATTTGTCAGAAATGCAAATTTTCTGACCTCACTCTGTGCATGGGGCCCCTGTATGCCCAATGTGGGCAAATGAGTTAGAAAACGCCATTCATACGATGATCATTGCCCATTTTCTTACAATAATCTTCTGAGAGAAGAAAAGGATTTTATATAATCCATTCTTTTCTAATTTGGACAAGAGCCGTGTGGACTAGTATAGTAGCAGCTACCCTAGGACTGAAAGGAGTATCTTCATTCCAAAGAAGGGCGAGGTTATCTTCATTCACACAGCAAATGGAACAAAAGTCCAAGAATATCAATCTCTTACTAAAAATTCTTTAAATTCCTGACTTTAAATCTGCTACCAGGCAGACATCTGGTTCTAAACTAGGCATGCCAACCAGTTTTCTCAGTAGCCTCTTGACCCATAAGACATCCCACATTTCTATTGCCCCTTATATTCTTCTGTTGAGCAAAAATCACTGAAGGAAAGCCATTTTCACATTTCAGTGGAATTACAGACACATGTAAGAATAGTGCATGAAACTTTAAGAGACAGAATTTTAAATCTCGTGGGTTTTGAAAATACTGCACTGCAGGAAGCTTCACTTTGAGACATATCTCTTTAACCCTGAGGCTGTTTTTAGGTAACAAACTTTAATTATAAGTTTTAAGTTGCCTCAAATCTAAAGAATTTTAGCTTGCACCACTTTGCTAATTTAGAAAATTATTTCATATTTAAAGAATCACACTGGACTGTAATCATCATCTCTATCTATTAGTTTGATTAGGGATTGTTGATATTAAGTAACATTAAGACGACCTTTGAAATATTACTTTCCCTTTCTATTAGAAGCTTTTGTGTAAGGTTCTAAAAATGAGAGCCTCATTAGACATAATTAAAATGGGATTTATTCCATATGTGTAACCAATAATCAAGAGAATATTACTCCCCCCTTCCCTAATCAGCTACTTAAAAGCGATGAGAAGTTTGTATTCAAAGCAATAATAACAGCAAACCTTCTCGATCAGATTTCTTTAACTTTGCTAATGTCAACAGAACCTAAACAAAAAGGAGTCTAAGATGCTGGGCATGCTTTTTAAAAAATATACATTTGATTTCAATTAAGGTTCAGTGTTTATGAGCCTTGGAGGTATACGCTTTTACA